AATTTATACATGTCAATATATTCTGTTTAATTCCAAAACAAAGAGTTAGTCCGGAGAAGAAATAAACGCATAGTATTCCATAACAATTGCTACACCTTCTTTTGCTCTTTCTTATTTCGGAACCCTACTATATGGACGTAGTTAAGCAGAAAACGTCCAACCCACAAATTGTTAAAAATGAGTTCTTTACACCAGCGAGCATATAATTTCTTGCTTTATAATATGCAGAAACCGTCCAAGTGAAAACATTACATACTCTTTTAATAATCGTCAAAGTTCTAACCCACAAACTAGGTTAACTGAGATTTTCATTGATAATAAAAAATCCAAGTGGGTTGAATTTTTTCTAAAAAATGTATGTCGATCTAAGTAATCGTGTTAAAAGAGTGGTTAAAACAGGCTAAGTGGGTTGGATCACTTTAACGCTCCATGCGATAACAAAACTACTGTGCATTTTTTTGTGTTAAAAACATCCAAGTGAATTGGATGTTTTCTACTTATAAATTTCGGTATACTTGTTAAAAATAAGAGTATAATCAGAAATCGTCCAAACCACTTGGTATCATTTTACGTTTACTATTTCATTAATATGTTAAAAGTAGTTTGAATCTTCGATTTCGGTCGATAATAAAATTTTATTACGGGAATGTGCCCTATTAATGTTTAAAACGTGCCTTGTGCGTATAAACCCTGGAACTTGGTCGATAAAAATTAATTTATTATAGGTACTCATCTTAAGCATAGTAATCACTTTCCTTTAGTTTTAAGTAAATGTGCCTATGTATTGATAAACATTTCTTTTTATTCAGTTGTGTCTGATTTTTCTGACTGTTCGGGTTTAAAAATACTTATTTAATAATAATTATGTCGAAAAGAAGCAAATACATGTGTGAGCTAGCAAAACTTATGGAAAACCAAACAAATAGTGTAATGTCTAGCGTGGAATTTGATTCAAATATTACCAATGTTGAGGTAAGTCGGAAATTTTTTATTAAAAAATAACTATATGTTGTTTACTGATTATTTTTTCGTGGTTTTCGGCCAGATTGAAGAAATAACACAAAACTCTCTTTTTTTTTACGACGTTTCAATTTATTTTGTTACTAAATCTTAAAAAAAAAATAAAGAAAATAGAAGAAAATAGAGTTTTGTGGTATTTCTTTAATCTGGCCGAAAATCACGAAAAAATAATCAGTTTATAAGACACGGCTTCTAAAAGTTTATGTTGTTTACTAAATTTTTAAAATAAATGCATTTTATACATCATTACATAATTTAAATATATTGTAGAATATGGATGATACCAATGTGACAGAATTCTACCGTCACAGCGAACCATCGTCATCCAATAGTCGTATTCGTGAAATGGTTTTAAACGAGAAAACTGGATGTTTTGAATCAGCTTCTACCATAGATTCTGTTGATGATTATGATGTAAGTATTAAATCTTTGTACCTATACTGTTTAGTAAAATGCTTTATAATGCTATTCGCTATATTATTTCTATTTAATGAAAACTAAACTTTGATGTACCTATTGTTACAATCTAAAAGAAAAAATACAACTTCCTTAGGTACACACAATTTTGTAAACACATATGTATTAATCTTATTATACCAATGTTAAATTGATACCTATTATTATGATCATCAATTATTATTGATTAAAGTAATTATACAATAATGTAAAGCATATGAAAATTATTTTTCGATGAGTACCTATAGTAAACTTTATGAAAAAGATTAATTTGAATGAATTGAATTTGTTTTATTTTTTGGTACCTGGTAATTGATTAAAAGTTAACTTCTTTAATTAAAATAGACGCTTTCTATAATTTTTTGAAATTTTTATTTAAAATATTATCTAATAATACCTACCTTTTTATTCTTACAGAATATGTCAATAAGTGATGTCTTTAGTAGCGGTTCCTCTGATATGTTTATACCATCGTCACATGAAGAGAGTTCCGATAACAATGAAAGTTGTGATGATAATCCATTTTTAGCCAGTACATCAGGTCGTCCAAAGAAGGGTAGAAAAAAGAAATTTGCAATGACGCGAGCAACATCAAAGATTAATAGGAACAAAAATGAATCTTACATTGACTACAAAGGAAAATTGAAAGCTGCTAAAGAATTTCAATATGACTACAATTGTAACTGCCCGATGAAATGTTCTGAGTTGATTTCTACAGAGTCACGAAAACAAGAATTTGATCGTTTTTGGAGTCTTGGGTCTTATAATGCCCAAACTATCTTTATTGCCAATAATATCCACGAAATGCCGAAAAAAAGAATGTATGGAAGAAACACTGAAAGACGTCTGTATTCCAGACAATATTCCTTACTTAATCAGCGTATTTGTAGGCAAATGTTTATCAATAGTCTTAGAATAACTCCGTCAAGAGTAACAACAGCTCTGAGAAAGGTAAACAATCGTGCTCCAATTCTTGATCAAAGAGGTAGAAAACAAGGTGGTTTAAACAAAGTCCCTGAAAATAAAATTCAGGAAATAATCAACCAGATCAATAAACTGCCTAAGTACATATCGCACTACTGTCGTGAAAACACGTCTGCATTATTTTTACCGGCACATCTCTCATTATTAAAGATTTATGATCTATACAAATCTGAAGTTCAAAACCCTGTGAAATTTGGTATTTATAAGAGGATTTTTTACGAAAAATTTAATTTGAGATTTAATGTTCCCAAGAAGGACACATGCCAGGTATGTGATTCATTTAAAATAAAACTAGAAAATGAAACGGATGATCATAAAAAGCAATTTTTACAAATTGAACTCGACACTCATCAGGATTTGGCCCAAAAATCACGAGAAACATTAAAGGCAGATTTAAAACGAGCTAAAGATGAGGATAATGTAGAGTGTTTAACATACGATCTTCAAAAAACTCTACCTTTACCCAAAATTCCAACCAATGTAATATATTATAAGAGGCAAGTTTGCTTGTATAATCTCGGTGTATTTTCAGGCAAACGTAATAAGAGTTATTCCTATGTATGGCTTGAAGGAACTGCTGGAAGAGGAGCTCAGGAGGTTGGTTCCTGTATTGTAAAATATTTAGAAAACATAGAAAGTACTGTTGAACATCTTATATTGTGGTCTGATTCTTGTGGAGGCCAGAACCGTAATATTAAAATAACACTCCTCATGGCCAGTCTTCTTCAAACCAGCCATAATATAAAAACTATAACATTTAAATTCCTGATTTCCGGCCATAGTTTTCTACCAAATGATAAAGATTTTGGGGATATAGAATGTCAACTCAAACGTCAAGAACGAATATATACACCTTTAGACTATATAAATATAATAAATTCATGTCGTAAAAAGTCTCCAATAACAGCTACACAAATGAAAAAGGAATGGTTTTTGAGTACCCACCAGCTCGAGAAGGCCACAATAAACAGAAAAGTTGGCACCAATAAAGAAAAAATAAATTGGTTGGAGACAAAACAAATTATATTAACAAAAGAAAATCCTTACCACATCTTTATGAAACCTAGTTATTTTGGCGATGAAAGTGTATGTTTGGATATTGAGCGACGAGGACGATTAAATACAGAGAGCTTTTCGGCGCTGCTTATGCAACTCTGGCCCAATGGTAAACCCCTATCAGAGGATAAAATTAACGATATTAAAAGCTATTTACATCTAATTCCTTCAGACGCTAAACCGTTTTATGAAAATTTTACAAGTGCTAATGTAGTCGAAGACGTTGATGGATTTAATGTTCCAGTTCTAGATTTTGAGGTAGATACCCACAATAATTAAAACTTTTTTTAAATTTACATTTACATAAGAAAATCATTGTAATTTTGTTTCTTTGGATCATTAAAATTTTTATAAAAATATGACATTATTTATTTATCTGAAAGATTCCAACCCACATAAGTATGTTTTATCGAAATTTTTTTCGGATTTTTGTTTTTTGTTAAAAACGTCCAACCTAAAATTTTCAAAATAACTTCATTGAAACTTACATTTAAAAGAAATTACAAACGAGGTGCCTACGAGATGAATATCATTATCTTAAAATCATTGCCAGGCGAATAAATTATGCATAGTTTAGCTAGGGCACACTAAAATCTTTTAAACTCAATTTCCCAACAATCACTTTTTTTGGGTTGGACGTTTTCTGCTTAACTACGTCCATATATTATAATAAATTATAGTAAATATTCTCCAAGCCGCGTCTGTCTTTTACCATTCCTCTTTATTTCCTGTAGGGCGCAGATATGTATTTGATATTCTTTCAACTTTTTTTCTATTTCCTGATCTCGGTTATTTAGGCTTTTTATGTTCCACGTCGCCACTTTCATTATATTTTTCGTATTCCAGTTCGTCGTCCTTTTTCTCGCCTTTGTTGTTACCATATTTTCGAATGTCGTTCTACTGTGAGCGTATAAATTGGGGTTGAACTCTTTTTTTGTAAGTAGTCTAATCAGAATATTTACCTCAGTCAAGTATGTTTAGTTATTTTTTGAAGTTACGCTGAGTCTACTATTTTGAACTAGCAATAAATCATTTACTCCACAACAACTTCGAATTATTTCACATCGTCGATCGAGAATTTCAGACAAAGTTCAATTTATATTAGAAAAGGTTAATCCTGAGAAGACTGCAGTGATCCCGTTTACTCGAAAAAGCGCCATCGGATCAACCAATAAGCTTATCTTCTTTGGGTTCTTATAGACCAAGTCCATTTGTGGGGTGATACAATGGACCCGGCTCACAAATGAGCCCTTCTCCGATCTACCATTACCATACTATTTTATGAAGTAAAAGTTATTTTGTTAAAACACAAAACTTTAATTTTCGACTAAATGTTTGTGTTATAAAAACTAATAATAATGGCTACGACGGACACCTTGGTGCGAATAGTATATCCCAGTATTATACATACCTACATATTTATAACAAATAATTTAACTATCACTGGCTGTTACCTTTATATAAAATAAGTTCATGATACTTACGGTTTTTGTTTTTTAACCATATCGACAATATGAGCTGATTCCGCCAAACGCTGCGCTTGGACAATAATTTCTCCATCTCTATTTTTGGTCAAATTCAACGTAGGGGCAGATCTTAAAAAATCTTCGACAGATTTAAAACCTAACTTGGCAAAGGGTATTCTTTCCCCTTCAAGCGTTTTATAATCTCCTAAAAATAAGCAAAAAGTAAATAACTTTTTTTTTATAAAAGATATTGTTACGAACATGCTTTCGGCATGGTCCATGTAACGGTTGCATCTCGAAACGGCTTCAAGAACCATCCACAGATCTCTCGAACGCAAGAGAACAATCCGTCACGTAAGCGAATTAGAGGTGGGAAATGTTATAACATTCGTTATGTATATATAACGGTGTTAGGAATAAGTTTTTAGTTAATAAGATAGTATCGAACTGTAAAATTATAAATAAATATATTCATATAAATTCGAACCGCTCGTTTTATTTAATCTCGATACAATATTTATGCAGAAACTGGTTGCACCACAACTGAAGAATAGGCAATGTTGTCAGATTGCTTACGATTTTTTGTTCGCAAAAATTTGTCTCGCGCTTTCGTATGAAAAAAGAAGAAGCTTGACATATAATATAAATATAATGATGGCTGTAATACATGCTTGTTACCCCAGTGCGACACAGAAAACTAACGTAAAGCAGTCCCTGTATCTCTTTCTAATTTGCCAGGTTTATCGACCACGTGACCTAAATTATCAATGAGAAGGTCACGTGGGCAATAAATCTGTTGTATTAGAAAGAGCCGGGCTGACTGATTTGCGTCAATTTTCTCAGTCGCACTGGGAGAACGCGACGGTAGCAGTCAGTCTATTTGCATTATATGCCTATGCCTCTTTTTGTACACGCACACACCTGTTGTTTATCAAAATAAACAAATTTAAAGAAAACTAGAGTGTCCTCTTGTACTGCTTTAACGGTTATACCTAGTAAAAAATAAATATTTTTAATCTTCTTCCTTCTTGTATATAAGCTTTAAAGCCTGTTTCTTCAATATTAGTCTCCTAAATTGTTTAAATTATCGCACCCTTCTTGATCTGCCAATACTTATTGTGCAAATAAGACATAGTTAAAATTAAGGAATTCATAGGGTCAATGTATTTAGCAGGAAGATTAAACCTTAAAGATTTCTGGGATACAGATGTCTAACCTCATAAGTATATTTTTCAATAAAGAGATTGATTTCAGAAATTTGTTCTACACTGACATTGTTAATACGTTGGAGAAAAAGTAACACTGGACAAAAAGCTTGAACCCTTTAGGGGAAGGGTTTATACAGTTAACTTAGACATTGACGCCTCATACAGCTCACGAGTAAATCTGGGCGTAATGTTACAGGTGACAATTGGTTCAACGATGCCTCCATATTGCAGTACTTAGCTGATCTGTGCTATGTTGAAACTTTAAAGAAAAATGAGTGACAAATGCCTCACAAACTAAAAATTGTTAAAAACAGACAAACTTGTTCTATTTTTTTTGCCAACAAAAATAAAGGAACTCGTGTCCCATATGTTCATAAAAACAAAAGTGTTAAAAGAATGTTTGTTTTACTATTTTTTTGCTATTTCGTTTTCCCCTCGTAGTTACTCGAATTGTGTTCATTTAAAACGTTTCAGTATCGAAAATAAACATCAATAAATATTATTTTGTTAAAAAATGATGACAAGTGGTCATTTTATGATACCCAGATGTTGCAGCATACCGTAGTCCCAAAGAAGACCCTTTTGTGAGAAAAGTAACCTACACTCATTTTTTAACCACCCAGAAGACAATAAATAACATTAAAGTCACGTTTTAACACACTTTAGCATTTTTACGATCAGACCAGTCTCTTGTGAAAAAATAATTGATTTCATGTAAAAATATTATAAATAGAGATATTTGAAGGGTCAAAGCTTATGAGAGGTAGCCGATGAAAAATCAGCCGTGAAGACATACAGCTGTTTTTTTTTAAACGATCTTAGAAAGTGAAAAAATATTTTTTGCCTATAAAACGTTTCTTATACATTTTAGAGAAAAATGACGACTCTGACGATAGGACTATTAATTTTTATCTTTATCCAACTGACAATTCTAATGTCGATTTAAAATTAAAATAAAATTTTAAAATACAAATATCCTTAAATTTTTGAAAGGATCAGTTACTATAAACTCATTATACCCTAGAAATAATACAAACAATATGTTTTGACCAATCTGTAATTTCCGTAAGAATTTACATAATATTAAAATATTTATATCCTATAATGTCCAAATATTCAGGTAAAATTATAATCTTTTAACAATATACCTAGTAGGGCAACCTTTCTCACCTTCACTATTAGCTAATTAATGCAATAGGTAATAAAACTTGAATATTTCTTACCTGATACTACCCATTCAGTGAAATATAACAATTTTATTATAGAATTTATATATTTACTAAAACTCAACTTGATTTCTCTTGTTTTCGAATAATAAAATAGTTAAAATTTATAAATATTGTAATATAGCGCTTTATTTAATATAATTTTAAAACATATCGATGGTTTAAAGCACATAGTATGTCCACTTGCTGACTTTAAAATAACATAATAAGAATATTCAATGGAATGAATGTTCTGCATAATTATTTTAAGTCCAGAATTATTGTCAATAGGTTAAAACCGTCTTGCCTAAATTTCCCATTTGTCTAAAGACCGACTTGCACAGACATAGTATGTTTTGGACATACAATATTAGTGCTCACTCGATCAAATTTATCATGGCTGTAAATATTTTTTGTCCGGACATACAATATTTATACTCAGACACTAAAGCTATCAGGCAAATCATATGATTTGACATTAAGCTAATAACGATATTATAACATAATATCATGTTTCTGCATAGTTTGCACATAGTTTTCGTATGTCTGTCTCTTAATCAGTTTACGACTTTCGGTAACCTAATAGGTGCTAATACCATTCTGGTTAAAAACGCAATAGTATGTTTAAATATCTTAATAATTGAAAAAAAAAACGTTAGTATGTTCAAATATCTTAATAATTGAAAAAAACGTTTTGAAGTTTTCGCGTTACTTTTTGTTTAAAACTGGTGATAATATTGATATATTACAATGTTTGTGTATTAAGCTCGGTTATCATTATTAACTTAATGTAGATAATTTTCTTAAGAGGCCTGTGTACCAGCCATAAAAATGAGTAAACGGGGCATAAAAATGAAGGAAAACGGCTTAACTGAAATAAATAAAATTTTGGGTTTTGCTTCAAAAAAAAAGGCTTTTTATCGCTATGTTTTTATATTTTTGAAAAACCAAAATTTTTTTTTGTTAATTTGAAAATGATACGTTTATTTAAAAAAATGCAACAGTGCGGCGTTTAATATGATTTTTCTTAATATATGAACTAATAATGTATTCAATAAAAATGAATGTAAGTCCTACATTCCATGCTTCAAAATTTTCAAAAAAATAATGACCAAATCAGAAGACGCTTGAACTTTCCAGCGGATCTGACAACGTCGATGTGAGGGAGCCGCCTTTAGCGATACTGTCTGGCTAATGTTTTAAGAAAGATGATGTTAGAAAAGAATATTGCAGTTTGATTATAATTATCGTATGGCGCGTGCCACCAAATTACGTTCGTCGATTACAGAGTTGGCTGTCGGGATTTTTAGTTTTTTCGTATATTGTGTTAGTTGTTGTGTTCTTTTTAATTATATTAATTAATAATTTTCTGTTGTTCATTGTGTGAGACTAAGTGTAAAAAGTAGTGTGAAAAACAGTTTTAATTATAGTTTGCTTTACAAACGAAGACCATGGGTCGCGTAAGAAGAGACGAGAGAAACAAAAAGAATAAACGATTATGTGTATCGACGGTTAGAAAAAGTGTACGAAAAAGATGCAAGGCGATAGCTAGGTAAGTTGTAATAACTTTATCATCTCGAACTTTATTGTTGATGTAATAAAACGTGGCAAGAACGTATTTGTTATTTATGGCACCTGTACACTAATTATAAAAAGTTAAATTAATTGTAATAATAATGAAACATTATAATTAGCTATTTCTTGAAAGGCAACTTAAAATTGAATGAAATTTTTAGATTAAGAAAATCAGAAAAATTGGCTGATTCTTCTAATTGCCATAGTACTAACATAAAACCAACATTGGATTCAGGGAATTCTCCTAGTATAAATGGAAAACTAAAAAACCACTAGATATGTTCATCCTAACCAAATCGAGCCATTAAGGAGTTCCAGATTAGTCCCACAATGTAAAAGATGCCAGGCTTACGGACACACGTGGAAATACTGTAAAAAGGAGCCAAGATGTGTAAAATGTATTGGTAAACACCTTACTAAAGATAGCCAAAAACCACCAGAAGATAAACCAAAATGTGTTCATTGTGGAGAAAACCATCCTGCAAACTACCGCGGATGTTACGTAGCTAAAAAATTACAAACAATAAGAAACGAGAGAACAAACAAAAACAATATTATAAAAGCACCTCATAGAGTTATTGAAAGCAAAAAACTAAAAACGGCAGAGGTTAGTGAAAATAGAAGTTACAGCGATGTAACAAAGAATGCAAGGAGACATGCATCATCGCAACAAGAAAAAGAAACTGATATTACATTAAAAATGATATTGGAACAGCTCACCAAGATTGATGACAAAATAACTCAAATCGATATCAGAGTTACCAGACTAGAGCATAGCGCTAAAGGAGCTATTCCGAAAATCAGAAATGGCTACTAAAGACCTCCGAATAATGGCGTGGAACGCAAATGGACTGTTACAACATCAGATCGAGTTGCAAGCAGTACTAGATATTGAAAAAATTGATCTGTGTCTTGTTTCTGAAACACACTTCACTAAATAGTCATATGTTAAATTTACGGGGTATAGAATATATTCTACTGTACACCCAGATAATGCAGCTAAAGGAGGAAGCGCTATTATAATTAAAGATAACATCTTGCATCATGAGGAATTAAAATATGCAACTGAGCACATACAAGCTACAACAGTCTGTGTGAAGATGAAAACACATACCTTAAATATAAGTTCAATATATTGTCCTCCTAGACACTCCATTAAAAGAGAGCAATATAAAGAGTTTATGAACACTTTAGGAAAAAGATACATCATCGGTGGG